AGATCAATGGAACAGAATTGAGAACCCAGAAATCAGCTCATCTACTTACAGTCAACCGATTTTTGACAAGGAAATGAAATCAGTCCAATAAGGAAGCAAAAGACGTTTTAACAAATGGTGCTGGCAAAATTGGAAAACTATCTGTAGAAAACTCAAGCAAGATTTACACCTCACCTTATAAAAAGAAAAATAAAAACAAACCAACCAATAAAAAACAACTGAAAGTGGATCAAGGACCTAGAACTAAAATCAAGAACTGTAAATTCCATCAGAGAAAAGCTTGGAAGAACTCTAAAAGCCTTAATCCACAATACCAAAAGTCTTCCAACCATCTTAAAAAACCTTTAACCAGGAAGGAACAAAACAGATGAATGGGGCCGTTAAAGAATCAAATCTCTATGCAATAAAAAACTTCTCCAACAGGGTAAAAAGGAAAGCCACAGACCCAGAAAAAAATATTTGGTGATGACATATCTGATAAGAGACTCATATCTAAAATTTATAGAATACTCCAGCACCTCGACAAGGAAAAAGTAAACAACCCAATTGCAAAAGGGGCTCAGGATATGAACAGACACCTGACTCAAGAAGACATTCAGATGGCAAACAAACAAGTGAAAAAAATGTTCAAAATCTCTATTTCTCAGAGAGATGCAGATGAAAACAACTATCAGATATAATCTCACTTTAGTAACAATAGCAAAGTGCAACAGAGCAGCAAACAGCAAATGCTGGTGAGGTTGTGAATGGAACCCTTACTCACTGTTGGTAGGAGTGTAAAATTGTGCAATCTCTACAGAAGGCGTTATGTCTCTTTCTTAAAATTGTTGGACATAGAAATACCATTTGACTCAGAAATTTCACTACCAAGAATATATATACCCTAAAGAAACCATAACTGCCACCCAAACAGGTATATACACACTAATGTTTATTTTTTTTTTACACTAATGTTTATTGATGCATTATTCACAACAGCAAATTGAAGAAAGCAACACAAGTGCTCATCCAACAATGAATGGATAGAAAAACTAAGGTATATTCACACAATGGAATACTAAACAGCACTGAAAAACAAGGAACTCATAAAATATTATACCACATGGGTGAACCTGTAGGACATTATGCATAGTGATATATCTCAGTTATAAAAGGACAAATACTGCATAACACCATGTTATAAAAGAGGACTGACATGGGGTTGGGAGAAACTAAGACTAGAAGGGATAAATAATGAACACTGCATTGGAGCAGATGAAGGAAAGAACTGTTTAAAAGAAATATATGAATATGCATTATTTGAATGACAACAGTCCAGAATAAGAGGCGCATAGCAAAGGGAACTGAAACGACATAGCTCTAGCTTCATGGCTGCAACTATAGGGGAACAGGGAAGATGGCAAAGAGAAAGAGGATTTGATTTTTTTGTTATTTTTAACATGCTATCAGGAGTCTGAGTAGCACAAACAGTTGCTGAATTAAAGATTGGAGGTTCAAGTCCTGAAAAGATCCTTTTCAACTTGATAGGGCACAGTTCTGCTCTGACATGAGTGGTTCACCACCAGTTGACTCAAAAGCAAATAGTGTTGATTTAACGTACCAGCAGGTGCGAGCTGGCTGCTCTATACTGCCTGGTAGACCTTGGTGCTCACCCACAGGCTATTAGACTGCCAACTTCTTCCCTTTTTTTTTTTTAACCTCTTATAATGTCACTTTTGGTGTGTTTTAATGAATTGAAGGCCAGTATAGTCTGTGTGTGTTTAGTTGTTATTTTGCGGTGTTTTTTTTTTATTTCTTGCTATTCATATTTTTTAAAAAGCTATACTGTTTTACCTACAAAATTCAGATACATTGTTCCTCATACCAGATGCTGATCCTGAAGATCAGTATATTTTAAATTAGTTACATTTTAATCTTCTTATCTAGATTTGGCTGTAAAGTTGATACAAGAGGGAATCAGAGAAGAGTTTAAACTCACTCAGCAACTTAATTACAGATGGTTAATTTCATACTTTTGTGTTGATTCTTCCTTGTTAGTTTTCACTTGTTCATTAACATGGAGTCAGAACCAACTCACAGCTGACCCTTTAGCGAGTTTTCAGAGCCATAACTTGCACAGGAGGAGATTTCTTTCTCATTGTTCTCCATGGAGCCAAGTGGATAACACAATGTGTTACCCACTAGGCCACCAGAGCTCTCATTTCTAAAAACAGAGAGCTTGGTTTTAGAGGGTACCATTTTCAAGTGTGTCCTCAAAAACTGGAATGTACTATTTGAGGATCTTTTTTTTTTGGACAAGGATTAACAACAGATTGGCAATAAAACTCCTTCCCTCTCCCCCACCTAAAAATACATATCCACAAATGTCTTTTTAAACATTCTTGGTTTTATAATTTGTCCTTGTATTTGAAATGGAGAAACCAAACACTGTTCTAAAAATTTCCATTCAGAAGCTTTGGGTTCAAAACCATCTGGCTCTGCTAATGGTCAACTCTTTGATCTTTGGCAGTCACCACACCTTAGAATCTGCCTCTTCAGAGTGTCCTGTGTGGAATGAGTGAGAGTTTATATTGGACAGTCAACTGTACAAAGTTCACTATTACCGCTGTCATTATTAGTATTGGAAGGACCATTAAAGGTCACTGGTGAGGTTTGTTTTGTGATGAGCTGTAAGAAAACAAATGAGTCTTTGTTACTTTGGGGAAAGGAGTCAACGCCAAACACAAAGTAGACTTCTTTTGGAAAGATCAGTCACTCAAAAGGAATACAACCTGTAAAGTTATATTTGACTAGAGAGAGAGAGAGAGCGAGCAATACGGATGCAGAGAGTGCATAATAGTAACAGTAGTGGTTCCCCCAAATCAGTGGCTGTGAAGTGGAAACCCTACATGAAAATCACCAGGTTTTAAATGGCTGATTTTTCTAAATAGAAAAATCTTCCAAAGTGCCTCTGAGTGCTCTTGAACTTCTAATCATTTGGTTAGCAGTCTAGTGCTTCACTGTAAATAATCAATATTTATTGAGCATTTTGCATGCATTATTTCTTTTAAAGGGGAGGGGGGGAAAATAAAAAGTCAAAAGTAATGTAAAGTTAGAAACAAATCCTTACCATGTGTTCCATACCCCCAAACCACATAGCTTAAAGACCGACTTCTCCAAGGTTTGGCATCTCCTTGCAACCCTTTTGGGCCCCTTGTAGCTCTGGTTATCTAATCTCTTTCCAGCCACTCAGGAAGGCCCATGGCCTCCCCTGCAAAAACAAGCTCCTATTAAAACAAAAATGCTGTCTGTCAGTGTTTGACATAGTAAGTCCATAACAAAACTAAATGGCATGTTAAAATATATATTTTGTTGAATTCGATGACGTTTAGCTGATCAAATAACAGGAATGTAAAAAGAGCATATGCAATGTGTATAGCTTGAAGTGTACAGACAAAAAGCATTTCTTCAACAACCCGCGCCCCCCCCCCCCCGCGCCCCAAATTAGATTGGAAAGGGGTGGCTCCGCTTAAGGACTGCATCACGAAACTCAGAACGTGCTTTTTGTCAATATGTGTGGCCGCGAAGGTGAAAGGTGCCAGGCATTTCCTATGGGTGCGGGCCGGGTGCAGTGGGGAGATATGCTCAAGTGGCCGTTTGCCGCAGGCTCCGTGTTATTTATACAGCGCAGCTGAGCTAGGTTGAGGCCAGAGCGGGGCGAAGGTCTATCAAGAGCCAGGCGTGTGCAGATATGTGTGCTGTGCGTTTCTCATTTCCAGTGTAAATTCAAGATCCAGGGGAGGATAGGGAGTGCCATAAACTATAAGATATTTGTCACCTGTGCCTCAGCCATGTACGCCTCCAATCGATCTTAGGGAGCACTCATTTCGGAATGGGAGAAGGAAAGGCGATTTGGGAGTGGATGCTGCGCCAGTCGTGGGTGACCAGACGCTGCGACTGACCGGCAACCTGAAATTGGCAGCAGTCTCCTTGACCTGCCCGGCTGAATCAAGCGGGTACGCAACGGACGCAAAAGAAATCGTGTCCACACTTCCAAGAAGCGTGAGCGGGTGGCCCCCGTAGGCAGGCCATCCTCCGGCTCTGGGTCGGGAGAAAGTGCCGGTGCGGCAGCTAGGTTGGCTGGCCCTTGTGGAGCGACCAGAGGTCGCGGAGACCAGGCACACCCGAGCAGGGGGTTGGGGGCGCTGTTGCCGGAGCCGTGACTCGGAGACGAACCTATCCGCGCCTTCCGCACGCCCCTGATCCCTCGGGAACCCCACTCCTACTCCGCCCGCACCCTGCGCTCGGAGCTCGGCGCACCCCGACTCCCTGTCCTCTGGCGCCAGGTGACAGGGAAGAGACCCGCGGTCAGGCGTCCCGCGCCCAGCGCCACGTCCCCTCCCACGGCGGCGGCGCGCTGGGCCGAAGGGGGCGCTGGAGCGCAGGAGC